ATTTGGAAATTATTTTAAGTTAGAAATTCATAAAAAATTTTGTTTTTAAATCTAAGATTTTAAAATTTAGTACAAGATTCCTCATAAGTTTGTCTACCTTTATCAAAAAGAAAATTTTTTAGAAGAAAGTCAAATTAAATTTTTATGAGCGTTTGAAATTCATATTTTTACAACATTTGATATTCACTCGATTTCTCATGTAACGATTTTCTGTTTTTGTTGTAATTAAAAAACGAATGGCTGTAGATACTTGAAAATTTCACTGAATGTCGATATTAGCATTTTCTAAACACGATAAAATTTTGAAAATAATTTGACTCTTTTTGAGATGTTTACGGACATTGTCAATTTTCAATTTTCTTAGTTTTGTTTTCTATAAATACCAATAAAATTTTATTTGTCGGGCGAAAAAGCTTGAAAATTGAATACAAGGTTCCTGATATATTTTTACAATAGCAATTGTAAAATATTTAAAATACATAATAGGCACAATTTTTTTTATAAGCATTTAAAATTCGAATTTTGACTCAGATATATTGGTATTAATATGTCTTAAACCAAGACTGACATACCGTCTCCACTCAGAATCGTTTTTCTTATACAATGATATTGTATCATTGAATTCAAATTTAATTCCATCCATTAAACAGTGACCCACTTGTAACCTACTGTACAGCAGAGCAACATCCACTTACCCGCTTTTTTACTTATTATTATTTTTAAGTCATCTAAGGTGAAGTTTTCATCTCTATTAATAGCACAATTTTTGGATACCATCATTTCAGAATACAATGCATTAGCATTTATTGTAAATAATTCCCAAAAATCAATTACCTATACATCAATATATTATCATCTTTTATACTTCTTATTCACCTACCTTATATTTGTTGATAAAGTATAACGCTCCATCATAGTCAAGTTTAAGAAAATGTTCTGTTGAGTTAACTTAAGTTTGACTCTCCTCAGAAAATCTAGTTTTTAAGTGAATAATAATAGAGTCTAATATAGGGTTTTAAAAATGATTTTCCCTGTACTTTTTCAAAGCTTATCAACTTTAGAAGTTACAGTTACATTATCTGCTTGTTCTTCACTTTCTCTACCAGTAATGCTCATAACAAAGAATTCTTTTAAGTTCAGCTAGGCTAGGCTAGGTTTAGTTCTTTTGTTTGCTATAAATTAAAAACAATGTTTAATTTATAATTGAGTATATCTATAGCAAATTATATACATTTTGTTGACAATTTAGGAACTAAAATAATTAAAGAAATAATATTGAGAAAATGTACAATAGGTAAAACAACTAAATAATTAATGGCCTCTGTAGACTGACTATATACCTGCAATAGTTGGAATTTCAGTAGAAATATTATGTTCCGTAGTAAAGTCTAAAAATAAATTCCAAATTTTAGAAAATTCTAATAGTAATCTAAATGTATATGTATGTTAGTATGTTACTGTAAAAGCCCGATCACTAAGTAAACAGTAATCCTAGGTTTTACTAGTTAGTTTTTTAATTTACCTGGGTTAAATTATCTCGTTAAATGACCTCGAAAAGATTTACCCTGCCGAGCTAAATATAACGTAAAATCAGTTAATACCTTCACGTAATTACTATTTTTTATAATTTGTTTTTGATGAGCTGTTGAAATTTGTGTATGAACATTTTCACTTTGTAATGTAATTTTATAGGCATTCAATTTTGCAGTACTTGTTAAATGTGATATTGACTTTTCATGTTTAGACAATTTATCATTAATCTATTAAAAAAATAATAATAGCTGAAGATAATAAAATAATAAAACAAAATATTATTTATTTAAATACCCTTTTTCAGATTTTCACACCATTTATAGTATCAAATTTTTCATCGAGGGTGTTAGTAGAAAAACGTCGACAGTTGAAACAGAAAACAGCATTTGCTTTCACACTATATTCAATCCAATTATACTTGTTATAACAAATTTATTAAAATGCTGTGTTTTGTTTCTTAAATGTATTTAACAGATATAATGTCTACACCTAATAACATTGAAAATGTACCATTTCATAAAGACTGACCAGTGGTTGTGGGAGATAGTTTAGTAGTATACAATGGGGATAAACAAGCAATAACTTATGTTGCAAAAACTGACTCGGTCAAAAAGACCAAAAAACATTTACGCTCTAAATCAAAGAGTGTATTAAGTGATCATTCTGACAGTGCTTCTGTTGTACAACTTACTTGGACTAAACGAATTAAAATAAAAAAATTGAATGTAATGGTGCGTGGTTCGGAAAAAGGAAGATTTCCAAAAGATACGGTTATGACAAATAATTCTAAACAAACAGTTTCGCTTTCAATGTAACCACAGTCTCACGTTAACCAACAGTTTTCCCAATAACTTTACATTTTCTCCTGTAACTGATACAAATTTAACTACAACATAAATTAATGGTACAAAAGAAAATTTTTTAAATACATATCTTCACTTATTAATGATGCACATGCATAATATGATATGATATGCTATGATCACAACATTTACAATGTATTTTCTTAAATTTGAAAATTATATTTAAACTAAAATATTTAATACACTATTACTTTTTTCCTCGCCTCTGCTGTTACAACCACGAATATTTTCAACTATACATTTTGATATTAAAACGTACTATAACAGTTAAATACTTAACTTACTTAACTTATGTTAGTGAATAACATTATACATCAAATAAATAAAAGCAGAATTTAATTATGTTTAGGTGTATTATTGAAAAAAAAATTAACTTCCAATATCATATAAACAAGTGGAAATGTTTTAAAAAAAAAATACAAAAATAAACACGGTCTTTATTATTTTCAGTGAATCAATTTAAAGGTAAGTATTTAAATGTTTATTTAATGAATTTATTCAGTTTTATTTAGTATATAGATATTATAATAAAAAATAATTTTTTTTACCAAAACAATTCAAATTATTATTAAAAAAAAAAAATTAAACCATAGTAGCATCTCCTCCAGATACTTCAACCTGTTTTTCTTCATAGATATTATCATAAAATTTTGGAAGTTGATCTCCAAGAACCAATTTTCTTTGAATGCTACCAGTATGGTTTATTACACCCATACGAACGACACCTCCACTTGAACCATCCCGTTTAATTGCCAATGAAATTGCTAAACAAAATATATACTTTAATTAAGTAATATTATTAATCAAAAGTAAACTTACCGTTAAGTACAAGATTTTCACATTCTTGTTGGGTCATTCCATCTTTATATTGAGAATCCATAAAACCATACAAATAGGAACTACCAGAACCACCAATTGATATGTTTTGTTGAACAATTGTACCACTTACATTGATCGAATATACCTGTGATAAATAAGTGATATGTTTATAATCAATTTTAATAAAATAAATCTGTTATTATTATGATACCATAAATTTATTTTTATAAAAAATTGATATCATATTTTTTAATTTTCTTCACACAAAAACAATTGAATTAAGCTATGAATGACTTAAATAGATTTGCAAATTGTGCGGTTAGCATTAGTGTGTTTATGGGTGTAGAAGATTCATATACTGTATCTTATGACTGCAACATTTTTTGAGTCTTTTTTATTGGCCTGTGATTTGCAGCAATTAAGTAATGGTAACAGTTGGCAGTAGGCCAGGGAAATTTGTTATTTAATATAAATAGATAAAATACATCAAAACCAATTTTTCCATTACATAATTGATTATGTGCTATTGTAGGTACTTATTATTTACCCAGTCAAAATTATGAATTATATAAGAATGTAAAAGCCACTGTAATAACATTAACACTGCCTACCTATGTATCATACAATTAATAATTTTGGCTAATTGCAAAAAAAATGGGCCGCTTTATTCTGTATGCTACCATCTGCGATTTAAGTCTGCACATGCCTATAGTCTTAAGTACACTTTTTTTCATTCTCAGAGAGGGTATACAGAAATAACTTAAAATCAATATTATATTTATTAATTACTTGTCCTCCAAATCTGCTGTCCCATCCAGCTACGATGACCCCAGCAGTCAGTTGATGTCTGTTCTCATAAATCAGATTTTTAAACACATTGGCAGCAGCTCTGACAAGTGGCGGCTCATCCATTTGAATACTATGGAATAAAAATATTTTTTTATCAAAAAATTTATTCAACAATATATCATTAATCACCTTGTTAAATCCATATAGTATGCAACAATGTCTGTGATAGCTTGTGTATCGGCAGCCGAACCTGACCGGCAACAGTAAATATTGTCACATACTTTTGTTAATTTATCAGTAACTCGGTTAGCAATATATGCTCTAGAAAGCAAAACACAAATGGTATTATCAGTATATGAGTCAAATCTATCACAAATGAAGGAACAAATTTTAGTTTAGCAACCTATCGATTTTTTTTTTAAATGTGTTTTTGCATGCTTTATAAGAATGTAAAAAAAAATCAGACAAACTTTGTTTTGAAGTTATCCATGAAAAACTTCAAAAAGTACTGTAATACACTTATCTATTCTTTTTACAAAAAATATGCCGAATTGAATATTTTCAATTTTTTTCTTCTTCAACTTGTGTGGTTTTCAACACTCAATACATTGGTAAAATCAAAACTGACATCCTACTTATTTTTGAAGTTTCTGCGAGTATATGATTAATGTACCTCAATTCAATCCTTTATAATCACCAATAATGTGTCTTTGTCACGTATGTCTATGTCCACAAGAAAACAACGACCTGTATCTCTTTCAACGCCGCCAAACACCCATTGGCCTTCAACATGATGTCTCTTATGATATTTTTGCCTCCCAAATTTAGACTCATCTATTTCAACAATAGTCCCTTGACCACCTAAATACAAAGTATATTTAAGAGCAATGCAGTTATAATTGTTTCAAAAATTATTTTTTTTGCTTAGTGATTACAAGTGTATCGGCACTTGTCGTTACACTCCGAGCCGTAACCTTTTTCACCAATAACTTCAAAATGAAGTTTGTCCAAACTTCTTTTTTACATTCTCAAAAAGCATGAAAAAACACATTATACAAAAAAAATCAAAAAATCGATGAGTTGCTCAACTAGAATTATACCCAAATGAATTACAAGTGTATTTTAGAATAACAGTATTTAATTTACCCAGTTGTAGTACGAGAGTCGGCTCCGATTATAACACCACCGTCATAAATAGCAGCTATGATGGTAGTCTAAAAGTTATAGTTTAAATTAATTTTATTATTCATTGAATGATTATACTTAAAGATTTACAGACTAACAGTATACAAATGGTATACACAAATTTAACAATAAAAACAAAATCTGTTAAAAATTTGTTTTGGAAAATTAGTAATTACTTACACCAGTGGTTACTTCATCCTTTGTGATATCATGAATGCCGCTGTCTTGAAATCCACAATGACTGAGGAGAGACATTTTTGATGGTTTTTGGACGTTTTCGAACTTAAAACACTTCAATACTTCGAAACAGCGAGCCAGTACAAACGTTTACTGTTCAGTAAAGTATAATAACAATTTCCAAAAATTTAAGTAAATAGTACTAAATTATGCTGATAATACTCAAATTGTTTGTACATAACCCTAAAAACGAAATCGCATAATCATTGCTGCATAAGAAAAAGAACCATTAACATGGTTACGGTGTCAACGGTTTGTAGATCTTATCACAGATATTTTTTTATCTACATTAAAGTTTACGCAAAGTGGATAAGCGCCAGCGGTATGTATGTGGATTAGTGGATCTTCTCTACGAGGCACGACCCTACAGTCTACATCGTGACTTCGTGAGTGGTTTGATCAATCTGCCTTGGTTAGCCGTTTACGACCTATCGGCCAATAAATAATTTATTATAATCATATGCTCTTGACTCTTGAGATGATCAAATAATCAGTGGCGACTGACGGTTTGTTACCTATCTACTTAGGTACTAAGGGCTCTAGTGGTTCACAGTCTTGTAGAATTATTGTAGGGCACTATATATATGTATAACCCCATCATCATAACTATAATGTTCAAATCAAATCTTGTACATGACAATACGCGACAATCGCGGCCAAAACACGATACCTACAACACAGAATAGATTAAATTTAATCTATTCTGTGCCTACACGAGTAATTTTTTTTGTAATATTGTATGCTTTTGCCTTTTAGGCAGTTTAGTGCCAACATGACGAAGTACATGTTTGAAAAATGGATGTCCGTAGAGAAAGAATTAGGTAGGTAATGATTATCATTCACCACGTGTCCGCGTCATTACATATAGGTATGTTATTTAATTTATTATTTGTTATTTAATTGGGCTAACATAATATGCAACTTATACACTGCCCAGTACACAGTACACACATAATATTGGATAGGCAAACACCGCGTTCCCGACACTCTGGGACATGTCAGCACTCGCCGGCTTATAACTTCGGCCCCTGTCCTCCCATAAGATAATGTTTTTAAACGATTTTCCACGTCCATTGATAGGACTTTGATGGTATACAGTATGCTTGTATACATATTTATCGAATGTGATATTATTAAATAAAAAACATACAAAAATACTAGTTTAATATGGCGCCGTCAGCGAGCGATCAGTTCAAAATTCGAATCTAACCGCCAAACCGCAAAACAAAATAGGTTGAAATTATTTTGATGAATGTCCCGGTTAGTACTTGGAATTTTTATTGCAATCCTAGGCCACATATGTAAGCTCATTGAGTGTCGTGTATCGTCATTTATAGTGCCTATTCCATAAAATAATGTCTGTTGTGTAATGTGACTTAATACGAACAACGAAAACGCAAAATAAAAAATAGAGTTCGGGTACAATTGGTTTTCCACCGTGTGACATTTGTGCGGACGAGTGTAGACAATTTTAATCCAATTGTACATACAATAAGAAATATTGTAATAAAAATATACACGTAATAACTTAGATCATAGTATTAATATATAATAATATGTAGATAAATGATCTAATAGAGTAGTTGTTTGGTGATCAGAGAACTTGTGCGAACATACCGCGAAATATCGGTAGTCTAAATTCCAATCTCTATATATATACATCTAAACAATCTTTTATTTGTATTATACGTTTTATTGATGGTTTGCGACTCGATATCTATCCGATAACATTTATTTTGCGATAATTCACTGTCAGTTATATCGACTATAATAATATTGTGTACCTAAGAGCCGTACGAACAAAATAATATAGATACCTACCTAATAATATTATAGTACTTTTAAAGTAGTACTATAATACTACTATATGTTTCAACTTTAAGCTTGATTTGAGTTCAAGAAAAATAATTTTCTTTTTATTAAATGTTTTAGGTGGGGGCACCGGGCACGGGCTCGTGTGTCCCTTGCCACTAGCTGCCACATCATATTAATTTAAAACTGCATAAAGTATTTGGTATAATAATATAATGAACAATTGAAACACGAACTATTATATAGCTTATAAAGAACAAAATATTCTTAGTCTGCGATAGGAAATAGGTGCCTGCAGGCTGCAGGTATGTTTTAAGATAATATTATACAAGGGTTCGCATCTTAAATCATAGTCCGTGATCTGTATTGTGGAAGTTTATGCTACTACTATAGTTACTAGTTAGTAAGTAGTAGGTAATGATATCCCTGTAAAACGGACACTCTCGGCATTCGGCAACCAAGATTTGCTGAAATGTTGTCCGCTCTTTGAACTATTTTTGTTCATGCTGCTAACCCAGGTGGATTAAAAAATCCTTCTACCAAAGTAGTTCGAAATTTTTAACGTGAACGCGAAGAACAAACTGTGAGTGTACTTTTTTGCCACTAGATGGCGTTGCCCATAAACGAATTTCGTAAAATTTTTATTTTTTAATATTTTATGATTTTCGGGTTAATTTAAGAGAATTTTGATTTACAAAGTTGTTTTATTTACTATCGACCACTGTTGACTGTTTAGAGGAAAAATAATCGTAAATGTTTTACTTTCAGTCTTCAGACACCTTACTATCTACGCCATTAGTTTAATTATGGCTTAAATAAACACTGGTATAAACCTATCTTATATTGGACGAAATATCGTATACAGGACAATCTTAACATGTAACAAGCTTAATACAGCATGACGTAGGACATATGTGCAGATTCAAGTTGAGAACATAGACCAATATATTTAGACATGAGTGCAATGTAAACTTAATTAATTAGGTGCCTATTAGCAATTTATACTTAGTGATTTGTGAATACTGAGTACCTAGTAATGATATCCACTACCAGGCGTGTAGACAGAATTTTTTTAGGGTTTGTTTCAATTTTATATTGAAATATATAATGTGAGGGGAGGGGGTGTATAGATATGTACTTTCCATTGTACCTTATCAATTATTATTAATCTGTTGTATTAATAATATCTAATGAGAAATAAAACTATTTGACGACATATTATTTTGTATAGACATTTTCATCATATAAGTATTATATAATGTTTTTCACATAAATACAGCCGATGGAACTAGGTATGGGGTGTGTTTCCACACTCAAAACTCCCAGTTATTACTCATATATTAAAGATAGGTATTTAAAAGCAGTGATAAAACTATCGGGAGAGAGTTCAGAGGCCTCGGCCAAGCAGTTTGCGAATAAACCCCCTCCTTAATTTTCAAGATATATAATATTGATGCAAAAGGCTTAAAAAGTAGAAACGCTTTTGTATTTAATACATTTATTCCAGTTTACCTACTGATAATTAAAAACACAATTCATACAATTCACAGTATATACCTACGCGTGTTCACACTATTATAAACTCCTCTGTACTGCATTTCTGCACTACCTACATATTATCTTAGTAGAGTTACCTGTGAAATGTATTTTTTGGAATGAGAAGAGTTAAAACATAGTTACGACGCTACATATAGGTACTACTTTATACGTTACTCTGGGGTTTTATTGTCTTCCACAATGTCACAAGAAAGATTTCAAATTTTAACAATAATATTGTCATTACAAGAAACGTGAACAGAGTTATAAGTAGGCAGTGATAATATTTTGAATTTATTTGGAATCGCAGTGTGAGGGGAAAATTCTATTATTATATTAAAATTCCTATAAATTATATTGTTCAGAAGTATCAAGTATTTACCTATACATTTTAGATTCTATGAAGATTGATGGATGATTTAAGGAGTACAATGGAATGTATGTTTTTTTCTTTTGTCATATTTTTTGACTTTGGGGTGATTTACGGGTAAAAAATTGGATCTATTTAAATTTTTATTGAGGGGGGGGGGGTTGATCATCACATATTTTAAGGAGTAATATTTAGGCAATTTATATGACATATACATTGGACCAGTGTCAGTGTGTGAGTAGAAAATTAACATTAGTGTATGGGTATCGCTTTTTACTCTCGCAATCGATTATAATTCAGAAAAAAATGCTTGAATTCATAAGTTTAAAGTCCAGGCTGCTTAGGTCGTTAAGATCACTTTTACTATTTAAAATCTGATGTGCCCAGAATAAAAACAAATGTAGCAAATTATTTTACGTAATTAAAAAAAAAAAATATCTTAACTTTAAGGTTCTTTAAAATTGAAAATTGAAAATCAACTTACCGAAAATCGTAGATATTTTGTAAAATAATTCATGCAAACATTAAAAATTAAAAATCGGTTCCTCCGAAGTATGTTTAATTTACTACTGCTTATTGGTCTAAAGAATATGCAAAATATATGTGCTGTGCTGCTGTGATCCTCTAGAAATCAAAATTAAAAATTTTGATAATATTCGTTAAGATCATGAATATTTGCAAATCATTATGTAGTTAGAAATGCATAACATTTTTTTTGAATGTTTAAGATTTTTAAATTTAATACAAGATCTTTTGTAAGTTTATTGGACTATAATAAAATAATAAAAAAAACCTTACCGGAAAGTCACATTAATTTTTAATGAGGGTTGAAGTTCAATTTTTTACGTCGTTGGATATTCACCAGTGCAACAACTATTTTTCCTTATACGATTTTCCTTCTCCAAAACAAAAAAAAATTGTTAATATATGAAATTTTCACCGAATGTGTGTAATAGAAAAATCTATAGTTTAAATACATGGTTTAATTTTCATAATATTTTGAATCTTTTTGAGCTGCTTATTAAAATTTGATAATTTTGATTTTTTCTATTAGAATTAATGTCGATAAAAAAGTTTTCACTCAGGCAACAACTTAAAAATTTAATATACGATTTCTCATACAAAATATGTTATTTAAGTTATTTAAAAATATTAAAGATGCAATATAAGAACGATCTTTTTTATAACTGGTAAAATGTCGAATATTTTCAAAACCACCACCATTTTCAAATAATTTTGTAATTAACAGCTTAATTCATTGCTAGTGCTTAACATTTTATTAAAATGTTCCCAGTAAGTAGTTCTTACTGGAATTAAAAGGAAAAAATTAATATAAATATTAATTAATATTATGTGTAGTGTTTTTGGCAAAATTTAAACCAAACTATCATAATAATAATAATAAAATAAATTACTTAGTGCAATTTAAATATAATACAAAACGTTCT